AAACATGATTTTTGTTTTGTCCATGTTCATCTTAAGACCTATCTGTTGGGAACTAGGTCATTGAGCATAGTGCTAAGGTCCTCCAACGATTCTTTCATAAGGACTGTATCGTCGGCAAATCGAAGGTGAGTGATGTACTTACCATTGATGTTAATACCGTATCCTTTCCAGTCCAGTAGCTTGGAAACGTCTTCCAATGCAGCGGTGAAGAGTTTCGGGGATATAACGTCACCCTGTCTTACACCTCTTTGCAGTTGGATAGGTTTCGTACTCTAATTCTGTACTCAGATAGCCATCGTAGCCCTACTGTACAAACATTTCAGCACTTCGATATACCAACAGTCAACTTGGCACCGCTGAAGGGACAGTAGCACCGCCCAAATTTCGACGGAATCAAAGGCTTTCTCATAGTCCACATACGCTAGGTAAAGTGGCAGATTGTACTCTTCGGTCTTCTGTACAATCTGCCGCAGGGTATGTATGCGGTCTATGGTACTGAAGCCTTGTCGGAAACCGGCTTGTTCGGGAGGCTGGAAGTCGTCGAGTCTCGAAAACAGCACGTAGACGCGGCTCAGAAGGGAAATCGGTCTGTAGTTCTTCAAGAGAGCGTTGTCGCCTTTATTAAAGAACAAGACCACCGCACTTCTGCTCCACGCCTCCGGAGTAGTGCCACCATGGAAGACTGAATTGAAGAGCTTCTGAAGGACTTCAAGTAGCGGTGTTCCACTCGCTTTCAGAAGCTCCGCTGTAATTCCATCCTCGCCTGGGGCCCTGCCGTTTTTAAGGTGCTGGAGAGCCATTCTAACCTCGCTCAGACTGACGTCCGGGATATCATCGGAATAGTGTCGGGTAAGACTTGCTCTTGGATCGTTACTCACACTTGCGTGTGGCTCCAACGATGATGTGTACAGCTGCCCATAGAACCTCTCAATCTCACTCAAAATCTCAGGTGTCTCGGAAACGATGCTGCCACACTCAGTCTTCAGCTTTGACAGTTGGCTCTTTCTGGCAGACAGATCTCTGGCAAAGACTTTGGAGCCCTGGTTCCGCTCGATCGCTTCTTTAATACGAGCAGTATTAAAGTTGCGTAAATCTCGCCGCATGCATTTGGAGATCTGTCTGTTCAGTTGCCTGTATGCTGTCAAATCTGTTGACGATTGCAGCCTCATCTCCCGTCTAACAGCCATGAGATTAAGAGTGTGATCGGAGAGTTTTTGTGTTCTTCTGCGGCGGGTCTTGCAGAACTTAGCTCCTACCGCATGGACAGTTTCCACGAGCTTGTCATTCATATCGTCCACTGCATTGCAAAATAGTAATCTAATGTAAATAAATGTTATTAAAATATTTCATTACTTTTCTATATATCTATTATAAAAATATGCAATTATTTTTAGTGGAAAAACTCAATAACTGATTCCCGGGTCCGCATGATCAGCGTCGCACTACTACAGCCACTAGACCAACGAGACAGTCTATATATACATATAATATATATGCGGCGTTGTAATGGAAGGATGTAGTTTTGCCTGTTAGCGGTAATTTATTTTTGGGCGAAGTCCAATATTAACCTACAGCGTGGTTCTATATCATTAGTGCTTGTAATAATAAGGGAGGAGTCAAGTTGCCGTTCTCCATCGCAAATTGTGGGATTTGAGTTTTGTAAATTAGGATAGTTTTCTTTCATTAGTCGATCGCCCAACCCTTGGTTGTTTCTTAGGTGCAGCCTGCATTTAGTACAGGTGAAGATTGATTGCATTTATATAATAATTGAATACCCTATTATGTTCCCTTCTATCACGTAAGTTTTACTATTGTAATACCATGTAAGCATACTTTATGCTTGATTCTATGTTTGTTATGTGATAGAGCTTGAGTATGGCTGAATGAATTCCGTTGAAAATGGGCATAAAAATCGATTAATGAAATTTCGCACTGTCGTAAAATAGATTATAGATTCATTTCTTTATTACTTAAGACTAATTTTTGCCCAACGAAGCGCAAACTTAATGGAGTAACGACCTGGTAAGAGATATAGGAAGTTGATGGATGCAAGGAACTCAGGGCCATGATCTTTGGAGTTTCTTGTGAGAGGCCTATGTTCAACAGTGGACCTGATGAAGCTTCTTTACATAATTAATAAGAAGACTTTTTTCAGTAATAGTATATATACATAATATATATATATATATATATATATATATATATATATATACACCAGGTACCCACCCGTAGATCTCCGTGGACAAAGTACATAGATGTAGCTACGATAAATGATTTTATTCGTAATTAAACAGTAAGACCAGTTATATTTATATTTTAAAAAAGTTAAAAAATAACAAGAAAGAAAACAATAACGTATTAAATTACAAACAAAGACAACAGTTAAATATTAGTTACAACATTAGTTGTTAGGTATATTTTACATTTCATGATCAAAAGGCGACGAAAGATTCCTTGTGGCATTATATTAGCTGATGTCTGCCATGTTTAGAATTGATTATTAAAATCATGTAAATGCTAAAGTATGTAAAACAAACTAATCACACCACAAACATTTATGGCTGCTTCACTTCGTTCAACTTTATAAACAATAAGTTAAAAAAATCAATGTATATCAAGCAAACAATTTTATCTAGGTTGTCGAAGTTAAATATAACACTGAGCGGGTCAGTTGATCCATACAGTAGATTCCCACGTGCCTAATAAAGTATGAGTAGTCGGAAACTATTACAAAAACTCGACAGGAGACAAAGGAAACGAAAACTTAAGTTGCAACGTATAACTATGGGACATTAGTGTTGATTGAATTAAGGTTGAAGTAAGAAATTAACTGTTTACGTTACTAGCTGCTAATGACTTAAAGATAGTAGCAAGCCATTAAAATGTTAATTTTAATGCAACATTATGAAATTGATATAAATTTTGTAAGCGCTCGCGTCTTCGAGTTGTGCGACTGTGTAGCGAGGCTAAGCCTTTCTCGAAAATGTATGCACACATAACATTTTAAATTTTATTATCAATGTAACTAAAATATTATTTAGAACGTTAACGGAAAGCGAAACTAAAAAATAAGTGTAATGACGTAATAAATCTGACTTTACATTTTGCATAATTGTGGTTTAAATTTTCAATTTAATATTTAATATACATATTTTATGAAAATATTCTTACTTAGCAGTTTTATACTATTTAAATTTAGTCTATCATCAGTGTTAATTAATGGAATTGTCTATGATAACAACATGACATAACAGCAAAATGGTTTCTCTTGTACTGTGTAATTTGTTGTATCTATTATTACGGTATCGGTGTGAACTCAAGCGTGAACATTGCTAACAGCGGCTCGGCGACCTCGTGATTGATGTGTAGAAAGTTTCGGACTGATTGAGCGTTATATACGGCTATTACTACTTCACTAGCTTGTTATTATTTCGAGTTGTTCTATTCAGTGGTAACAGGGGTGACAGGTCTTCGTTTGAGATCTTAACTGAGAATCTTCTTTTTGTGTACAACCGCAACCGGCAACCAAACATGCGGCTCATCTTACGATAAGTGTCTATCACATCTCATGAACAATTGCAACACCAGGGGATTCCTCCAAAGAAAGTGCGTCGCTTGCGTTTTAAAAAAGAGTAGGATCTTTTATTTTTTCTAATGTTGTTGAATATATTTACCTCGTAAACAATGATAAATGAGTAACACGGTAGGTTATTGCATCATGCTTATCCGGACGACGATATGTGAAGAGGTCTTGAAAATCTAAGAGCTCTTATGAATGTTTTCTCGGTTTTAGAAATGATGGCAGAAGACCCGATAGAATGACTTTGGTACCCTTGGAGTAAAGTTAGCCCTAGTGTGGGTATAGTGTTATATACGTAGGTGCTTTGGGAACTTCACATATTAGGAAGAAACCCACATTGTTTAGAGGCAAGGTGGCATCAGTGAAAGCTGAACTCAGAAAATGATGCAACAATGAGTCTCTGACCGATCACTACAAATTTGGGCCACGTGCTGTGGTTATTATCGGTCCGTGGGATCCACGTGCGGTTAAGTTCCTAAAAGAACTGTGTCCTAACTTGTCGTTGCCGATGGTGACAGGAGGGTTGGTCCCTTTCTTGTTCATAGGCTATATACATTCGGCGAGGAAACGCAATTAGTATTCTGGCCACCATACAGGTGTAGGACTTTTTTTGGTTTTACGTTTTATACTACTCGTACTTCTAAGAAATGAACATTGTATATTTTATTTAAGTGACCATTTAGAGAAAAAGATCTTAGTACTAGTAGTAAAATTTACTTTTGATGAGATTTTTTATAGAAGAGGGGGCAAACGAGCATGCGGCTCAACTGTTGGTAACTGTAGACCGCCGCCCAGAAACAACTGTAACACCGGGCGACTGGCGGGTGCGTTGCCAAGCCTTTTGAAAAGGAGTGAGTTCGTTTTTTGAACATAATAATATATGTTTTTTTTATACTTTGTGACGTGGTGACAGCTAAGAAAACCCATCATCCTATTCCATGCTGCGCGTGTCGTTTATAGGAAATACCAAGAAAAAAAAATCACGAGAATACCGATCAATGGCATTACGACCATTTAGTTAATGTGAGACGTAATTGGAACAGACCTGAGACGGAGAACTGTGTCAAAGGTGTGAGATGTGTCTGGTCTGTAACCGCCAACTCACCTGCTGGAGAGTTAGCCGTAATCGTCGTTAAGTACAACAGAAGAGGCCTACGTCCAGCAGTATTTTTCAGGTTGATGATTTTTATAAAAATAAATTATATATACTTAAACTTAGATTATTAACGTAAAGTATTATGTCCTAATTAAAATTGCTTTGAGGTATCTCTCACAACGTATCATCTTTTTCCTAGATGTTGATTTCGTCTGCACAAGTTTTAAGTGATTGACTGTCGGAATGAGCTTGGTGAGTATGCAGACCTTCAAAGTAATGCCGCTAACATGTTTAGAAAGACTGTTGTATATTATAATAACTCACCTTATAAAGTTTGTCTTTCTGATACCACACGTCCTCTTCTTCCTCCACTTGAGTGGCGAAAGCTTGTGTGAGATCATCGCGGGAACGCGACAGTATGCGACGTCGTGACACCATCTCGCCACCCGTCGCCGCGTCAAACGGCCCTAGGCTGCAACAAAAAATTTCTTATTTCAATATCTTTATCATTTTATATTAATATTATCGGCCTTGGTTTCGCCTGGGTTAATCACCAATGAAATTTAGTGTTTTTAAATAGTCATCAATAATGACCAATGACCATAAATTTTTTTATTTCAAAAAAAAAGTTGCCAACCTTTTCAACAACAGATTAACCCAAACATACAGATGGATAAACAGACAGACAAAATAAAAAAAATGGTTATTTATGTCTTAATGACATAAGAAAAACATAAACATACATACTTCGATATTGTAGACGGGTACTTCAATTATTTAATATGTATAGATGCACTGACATTTAAAAAGTCAATTATAAAATTAATTTTGTAGATCATTTATAAACAAAGTGATTGTAACATGTAAATTTAGTTCCGCGTTGCAATGTTAAAATTTTAACCTTTAAGAAGAAGATTTATTATTAAACACATTTATTATTAATATCATTTAATGCTTTAAATAGTTATATTAAAATGCATCCATCGATTTTTATTAAAATTACGTAGCGTCACGCCTTAAATCCCCGAAATTTACGAAAATCTCTGAATCTCCTAACACTGCAAAGAGAAATAAGCTACTCGAAACAAGTTGGGGCAAAAAATATGTGTTTAGATAAAATATTGTGAACCAAGTGATTAGCGACTAGGCCATTACCTACACAATCATAACCTCAGTATCCCGTTATTTGCCTTTTAACACTTGTAAGGTTTCCTTCAACTTATTTTTGATGTAAAACACGTAACAATAATACCCATACAATCCACATAAACAGGGGACTTATAAGTTCTCGACTAACATTTATTGAAATTCTAAGTCTTGTAAACATAAAGTTATAGGTAATAACAACATCTAACAATATAAATGGGTTGAATTTTTTTATAGTTTAAGGGTGACAAACGAGCACACAGTCCACCTGATGGTAAGTGGGTGCTGTGGCCCATAGACATCTACATCTATCCTCGATAACAAATCAAAATGCAGATACGTTGTCACCCGTGAGCACCAAGATGGAATGCCTCGTTCCAGTAAAAAAGGTTCTCCGGTTCTCTACACTCACCAAACGAAACACAGCAGCGTTAAGTTGCTGTTTGACGCCGGTATTCTGTAAGAGTTTGGTCGTACCCCGGTCGAGCCGACCCATTCGTGCTACAACTATACCAGATATATAGCTGCAGCGTGGCTCTGCCTCGTAAAGAATTTTCATATAAATAAGTCAATATAAAACGTAGGCTCTTTCTAAGTTTAAGTACGAAATTTTTTTTTAATATTTTTTTTATTGTGTTAAACTGAAGTGACTAAAGAACTTACAGTCCATTTGATGGTCAGTGGCTACTGCAGTTCATGGACATCTACAGTCAATTTCGAACAATAAGAGCAACAGAGTGTTGTCACTTCTGAGGACTAAGTTGGAATGCCTGGTAACCTGTAATCATTATATCTATACCCTCCAGTGGGGAACTCAGAAGTGCAAGTACTGCAATTTCGCGGCGGAAATAGGTAAGAGGGTGATGGAGAAAAGTGAGAGAGATAGAGTTCTACAACTTTATAAATAATCGGATCATATCATGTCTTAATATTTTATTTCTTAAGAATATAGGCTTTTTGGTAATGTGTAGTAACGGTAATAAATATAATAATACTTGCTCTAAAATACGCTTCTTCTATTCAGCGAGGAAACACCATATGTCTTATTGGCACTAAAGTGTGAACGTTAGGGCTTCATAACAATTTCAATATTTCTTATATTTAAACGTTTTTTATAGGATAGGGTGACAAACAAGTCCACCACAATGCGGTAAGTGATTGTTGTGGCCCATAGACATCTACACATATCCTCGATTGCGAATCAAAATGCAGATGCGTTGTCACCCGTGAGGACTAAGATGCAATGCCTTGTTTCCAGTAAAAAGGGTTTCCGGTTCTCTATATTCACCATACGAAACACAGCAGCATTAAGCTATTATTTTAAGCTGGTATTCTATGAGAAAAGTTATGTATATAAATAAAAAGATATTAATACTGCTGCTATTGCTAAAAAACTTTCTACTGCAGATTAAGTTTATATATAGCATTATTATGATGTAGAGGAATAGAACAATAGTGTTTGAGAAAGCGATTACTAATGCCATTTGAATGTTATTTTGTTTGTGTATCGTTAAGCTTTTCAGCTTGTTCTTTGTAATTTATTTGTCTCATTCATTATGAACCTTTAAAGACATTTATCTATCAGCGGATTGAGGCTTAGCTTTAGGCAAAATTTCATAAGCCTATTTATATACCCAATGTTATTCGTATTTATTTTAATATTTTCTTCTTATGATTCAAAGATATTTTACTGGTATAGTCTTTAATAACTTGCTACTTGTACTAAATAATACCGGGCTGAGCCTAGACGACTGATGACCATAAAACTTGAAATCTTACAGTCCATCTAATTGTTCGTGGACACTGTAGTCTATTTTTTTCTTGTTCAAACAAAGAAGATTACAAATTTGTTGTTACCTCTAATATAAAATAAAATACTACAGCCCATAATTATACAAGTCCCCAATAACCTTAAAACTGCTCACACTGTGAGCGCTTTGAACGTAAGACAATTAAGGATTCCTACCATATTTTACAAAACTGTTCAAAGTTAAATCGTCATTGATACCATGAAATATTTATTCGCGTTAGTTTCCTTACAAGATTATTCTACATAGACGACCAAAAAAATTAAGGAAGTCAATGGTGCGAACACGGTATGCTTGAGTAATGATATTATTAAGAAGACATCCAGGTGGCGTTTAGTTCCTACAATCGTATTCTATAACCACGTAGCGCGGTGTAAACATATCCGCTACCCCATATCGTCCCGTGTTTCATTGTATTTTTTCTGGATAAATAACATTAGAGCTAATTTTCTTTCCAATACAATCTGTACGATCTACGCCTGCCATGTTCATATTATTATTTTTTCGACAATCAACTATTTTGAAAATAATAAACCTTAAAATACGAAACTTAAACTGTCCAAATATGCCTTTGTTGAACATTTAGCCAAAAATGTAAAGAAAATAAAAAGTAAGAAAATCTAAAGACATTTCCGCTTTCTCCTTATTTTGATCTAAAAGAAAAAGAAGTCGGTAAAGTTTTGAAATAGGAATAAGTAAAATACGGAAATAATCAGTCTAAGTTACATTTTTTGTTTGTATTCTCTCTAGGTTGCTTTTCGGTTGTTCGGTCGCACGACAGGAATAGATCGTTAAAAACCGATTCTACATATTTCTATGATATTCTTCAGTATTCTCATAAGGCTTGTCTTTTCTTCTAAAACCCTAAAAATTAAGCTACACATAATTACCTTATATCACTTGTCAGAAGAAGAAAATACCAAATAATTTTCTAACACATGTAACCTCTTTTGTATAACATACGAGTGGGCTGCGTCTTTTATATTAAAGCTAACAAAGCAATAGTTAGCACCGCTTCCTTCCGAGAGTTAACAATGTGTGGCATTGGATTCGGCATTGGGGATCGCTGTCCGTATCTAACGATCGCCTCCGTCGGTTCCTCCCATTCATTTTATATACAGCGTGGTTTGTTTACGTCTCAGATGTTTGCTATTGCGTCTCTAGCGCCAATTACAGAGTTGTCGAAGAAAGTGTTATGTCGATAGCATCTTTGGAGCATTTGCCTGTATCTGCTTGGTCTGTAGCATTGGCGTTAGAAGGCTGTATTGTGTTGCCACTCTGCCTATTCATAGTATCTATTATGGTTACATTCAGGAAGTGAGCGCACGATTTCATCGATATTTGCTATTTATTGGTACGAAAAAATCCATCCTTATGAGTTTTAAAATAGAGGATACATATTTTAATATGACCAATCAGGCGATATTCTAGATTTTAAGTTTTGAAGGTAGTTTGTACTTTTTATTGAAAGTTTAGTCAATCTATTACATGTCCACTGAACGCAACCAAACGAAAACACGGTCCTGACTGAATTTGTAGACTCCCTGGATGTTTCATCAAATCTTTACTCCACACTTTGCTATTTGCTTACGTTGGTACTAGGAGGAAAAATGTAACGATCCTCTTTGTCGTCTTTAAATTATCTCTTTGGCTGTTCCGTGCACTACTTAAAGGTCATTACTATTGTCTTACTATTGTGTCTGAAAACCGAACAGTGAAAATGCTAAGCCTACCAATTGTCCAGGATACCTAAGTATCCTGATTGTTCAGGATACCTAAGTGTCCCGGACAATTTGTTTGACACAGGACTCTCCCGTATTAGGGAAGATTTGTCTTATTTGTCGTACTTAGCAGGCTTAATTATCGCAATACCAGACATCTCGCATATTTGTCGCTGTTCTCCATCGTCAGACCGAGTTTTATTTATTTTTATTTATCTATTTTGAATTTTAATAGAGTACGGGTTAAAGCTGTTTCGGCAAAAATCCAATCTTTTAAATAATTTATTGGTGATATTTCCTTTTCGCTTTTAATAATGACTTTATTTTAATTATTAATGACAACGCGGATGTATAGAATAGGTCACTATAAAATATCTGTAACAAAACTAAAACCACGCATCAGAATAAAATAAAATGATTTGTTTCAAAGTAACTCGTTATCCTCGACATTTATTGATTTAAATAGAAACTTTTAAAACTTTTGAGTTACGTTACAAAAAATTTCTATGCCAACATTACAACTCAAATACTGTGCTCATGTGTTTGTGTACAGGTGACTTAAGATGAATTCGTCATCGAGATATTTCGACTTCACCATTTACGTAACTACAAACACTGGTGACAGATTTTTTATATTTTTAATGATATTACTGTTTTTCAAGAACAGTATATTTCCAATAACGTAAAGGCGTTAAAGTAATACAGATTCACGTTCTAAAGTGATTTGAATCAAAGAAGGTTTAAATTACTTCAACAGCAAAAGCCCATTTATTCCACTCTGACGCAGCAGAATTTAT